AATTAAATAAATAAATATTTATATTTTAATATTAAAAAATAAAACTTGTTATATTTAAATCACATAAATTAAAGAATAAAATTAAATATTATATCCTATAACAATCTTGACTATCTTTCCATTAAAAATAGAACTTTAAAATCTTAAAACGAAGTCATTCCTGGATCTTCTATTGTACAAACAATTTTTGCCAAATAAATATATATTTTTTATTATTTTGGAGTAAAAGATGCATAACACTTACATAGCCAATAACTCAATCTCCATTTTACATACAAATCCTTGAACCCTTACTGTATTACCATCTTTGCACAGGTTAATAGGTTGCAAGTCCAATCATTAAAAGAAAACAAGCATCAATGGGATCTATCATTTATCCACAAGAACGATTTAACCCTAATTGATTCCACAACCACATCCACTTAATACTCCACATCTCTAAAAATTATATTATTATGAACGCCCCAAATGTGCCAAGCAATGATGATGCTTAAAAAAACCCCATACTGCTTGCACCTTATCATTAGTAAAGTCACGCATGAATTGCCTGAAAGCAGTGTATAATTGAACACGACGTACCCACTTCAACATCTCACCAAGCAAAAATCTCTGTCCAGACCTGTCTCGCAGTCACATTGCAACAGTGCATGGTTTAGCTCCTCCACCTCAAGTTTGCATATCAAACAGTTCAGGTTCCTATCTTCAACTACAATTCTTCTCTTATCCAGATTTTGAGAAATTCTTCCATTCCTATTCTCTTCATTGTGTTTAAAACAAGATCTGTAAAAACATAGACACAAATATTAGATTTAATGGAAGTATGAAACCAACATTTTAATTGAATTTAAACTGCACCAAATGAGAAAAATACAAGGATGAATAACACCTAAAAATTGTTTGATAACACTAAGATGCAGTATTGAGAGAATTAAGAGCATTCTTAATCCACTAGAATCCTATTTGTTATTGTGGTTTCACTTGATCAATTTTTTTTTCTTTTTCAAATCATCATGGTCAATGAAGATAAAATTAACAATGTCTTCTTTTGGACACCATCTTGGATTATTTGGAGCATTTAATCAAAGCTCAATGATAAACTAATCAAACTTTCTACAAAAAAAAAGAAAAATGGAAAAGAAAATCATAGCAAAGTTCCTAAAAATGCATTAAGATGTATTAAAAAATTAATGGGCTCTAATTAAATGCTCCAAATATATGTATACATATAGGTATAAAAGGACATGGTTATGATTGCATGGTATAAGTTTTCATTTGATACTATCTCATCTATCCAAATAAGAAGAAAGAAAACCTAGGAAAAAGCATTAGTGTTGCTCGTGTAATTGGCAAGGGACCATTGTCAAACTAGTGAGAGATACAAAGTAGAATTAGAATTAGAGTTTGAAAATGATGGAACCAAACATTCAAAACCCTTTCAACTTCTAATTTGATTCCTTTCCCCTTTGAACATGATGGTAATAGTCCATTTGAAAAGGAAAATGGTTTAAAATGGAATATTTGTAGCAAAGTTTTTTTTTTTTTTATCTAAATTGTTAACAAATCAAAACCCATCATCAAATTAGATTTCATCTCAACCAAGCCAAAATTGAACAAATCAACGAAAATGAAGCAAAACCAATGTTTTCTAGAAATCAAAAAGTATAAAAAAGAAAACAAACTAAATCTAAAGCAACCATTTAAACCAACAGAAGCAGAGAAAGAAATCAACTCAATATGGAAGATGAAGTTTGAGAAAGGGGAGCTTACATTGAATGTGGGCTACATCACTAGGTTTGGAATGAGAAACACCGGCAAGTGAACTTTAATGTTGAATCGAGCAAGATTAGAAGCTATGGTTGGAGGAGCAAATGGAGTCCTGATGAGGAGACGTTTTGGAGTAGTTTGAAGACTGTTAAAGATGGAGGCTACACCACTCAATTTAGAAGGAGGACACTGAAAAAGTGAGCTTTTGATGAAATGGAGCAAGATCATGATCCATGGCTAGAGGAGGAGCAAAGCGACTTTCGATGGAGAGAGGAGACACTTAGAAGTACATATACAAATTAGGGATTAGGGGTTGTTGTCATAATTGATCCCCCTATGTATAATAGTTCACTCGTAAATTTGTTAAAATATGAGGGTAAAATGGAGACAACATGCAAATTTCATTAAATGGGCGGAGAAGCACATGCAAAAGCACCTATTTTGTGTTTCTTCAATTTTCAAAAAGGAGAAGCTAAGAGTAGCTTCTTAGCGGCTTAAGCAATTCTCAAAGAAATGAGTGTTTGGTAATGCTTGTCCTTTTGGACTCAAAAAGTACTTATGATAAGCTACACCAAACATGCACTACGAGTATTATACTAAAAAAGTATAGTGTATTTTATTTCATATTTAATGCTTTTAATACACTGATGATTAATTGACGTGCATTTTAAAAAATTAGTCTATGTAAATAGTTGTTATTTAAACTTTAAATTAAATTTATAACATCATATTTGCTTATTTATTACTAGATTTAATATTTAAGATTTTATTTAAATGTTTATTTAACATTACATTTGTCTAATTTTAATTGACACATTTACTTTTTGGACACTAATAGGTGCACACCCACAAACCGACACCATTCACCACACACCACTTATAATATTATTATTTTACGATTTTAAATTTTTTCCAAACAACTTAAATCAGTTGTCAAACATAAAACACACTGTTATTTTTGTTTGAGTAGTGTTTGTAGCAATTGCTCGAGCCCACTCTTTTGGAAACTCACACCCTTATGTAGCTTGTACCTTTTTTTTACTGTACTCCCTTTCTTCTCTCACCTCTAGCCATTAAACTTCTACAAATCCTCTCTCCAATTCATTAAGATTAATACTTAAATGTCAATAAATTTACCAAATCCAAATTTAAAATAGAAGAATCTTTAAAAGCTTCCTTTGCTTAGGAGTTCTCTTTAGCAACCACCTTTTAATCTTTCATAAATTTATCCAATCCAAATTTAAAATCAACAAAAAGAGTACCCCATTCAGAATATTGAAAATCCCTCTCAAAAGGAAATGACTTGTCCCGTCTGCTGCAAAATTGAATGTAAAAGTATTTAACAAGGATGACAATAGAAAAAAATA